CTGAAAGAGAGGACGGCATTCAGGAAAGCAGGGATTCGCAGTATTTGAGTATCTGCAATGAAAAATGCATATCGCGCTATTTTGTTCGACAGGTCTACCTGACGATCACTACGGACAGTGTTTCAGAGACTGGTACTCCTGATATGCTACCACATGCATGTGAAAAAAAGTTCATAAGCCAGAGCATGTTACATAACTCATAATTCCTTAATGACTAGGTACTTATAATCATGGGTTCATACGCGAAGTACAATAATAAACACTGAACTCCTCCATACCGAGCTTCACGCAGAGGGCACCGCAATTTTCTTCTATATGCCTAGCGAAACATCTCTGGTAGCATGAGTTGCATACCTCAACTAGTCTTCAACGCAGCAAAAACGAAAGCATGCTTCTAAGAGACTCCAGAACACAAGCAAAAAACCCATCCTGGCCTAGGTCACACCATTTGAAGAAGTTATCGCCTTGTCGCAAATATCTTGCCTTCTCGTCCCCATCTTCCTTTACCGCATAGCGTAAATATGAAATTAATACACTGGTAGTGACAGCCAGGGAAACGACGGGCGATCAGACTGATAACGAAGTGTTGAGTTGCACAAACTGCCATCCGCTCTACACTGCATTATAGATGTGAGAGGTGGACCCTACGAGTTGAAGACGGAAGTCCGATAAGGAAGTGAGAATGTAACGCCACAATCCGTGTCCGTGGCAACATCATGCAGTTCTCTACTGCCCTAAAAGAACGGAGATTACGTTGACCGAGACGTGCTGAGACGTCTATCAGACGATCTCATGATCTCGCTCACTTAGACCGTTAAAACTAGGCTCCGGATGACATCGGAAACGAAGCGGAAAACTTGAGACCTGATGGCGAACTGTCAGAGCTGACGTTTAAGTCCTATCTGGATCCGCAGTGATACGGATACAAACGGTGGAAGAAAATCTAGGAGACTGACACTGCGAACCGAGACGATATTTCAAAGTTGGCTAAATCAGTGGAGCGTAATGACAGGTGTAGCAGCAACATTATACATCCATGAAATTATAGAAAATACCTGCACACTGTAGACGGTACAAAGCGTCGAGTTTGATGGCCTGTTTAAACGGTTGCCAGGCATCTACAAGCAACAACAGGGGTCAAACGACGTGAAACATAGTTTCATTTAGGTAGCGCGTTCTCTAACGCAGCAACATCATCACATGTTCTTCAAGTTTCTTACGGAACTGC